CTGTGACAGATATTATCTGTGAGCATTCCAGGCTCACTAGCAGCAAATAGCTTTTTCTTTCTAAAGCTTTTCTTTCTGTCATTATCTCGATGGACTCTCAAAAGGAGTACAAAGGGGAATTCTGTCACTAGCCAAAGCAAATTTTTCCTTGAAACAGCGTCAGCTGAACAATAAGGTCTCAAATCATGAAAATTCATTTGATCAGGACAGCTACTTCTGAGGGAAAAAAAAATCCTTCAGTACCTGGAACTTTCACCCAGAAGAGAAAAGCCTAACAAAAGACAAAACCGGGAAGGGAAAGCCAAATTCCCCTTAGAATATGGTACATATTTAGTAGGGAGAGAAACCACCATTCAAACAAACTACTGAAGGCAACAGTGATTTTCCAGCTCCTGAGGTCTTCAAATCAAGACCAGATCCCTTCCGAAGGGTAAATTACACCACTCCTCTTAGGAGGAACCAGCTGTAGCTCCTGAAACTGTACCACGGGACAGAGGGGATGACTCTTGCCTTGCAGACAGAGCCAGCGGTTACGGGGCTGGAGCATGGTGAGCCTGGTGTGTGTCCCTGACCCTGGCAGAGGGGAGCTCGGGAGAGCCTTCCAAAGGCAGAGCTGCCAGGGAGCAGCAGCCACAACTCACAGCTCAGCAGGTGAGCCTCACTTTGCCTCCCACCACCTTCATTCTCCCTGGCTCTAGTGAGCCACACCTGCCAGTCAAGCAGGACCAGCATCCACCCATCAACAACCAAAAATTTTGGAAGGAGGGGAAAACCTGCAGAAATCTGCGCTTGAACTGCTGCTGTCTTAGCCTGAGGTAGGGCTGACTCACCCAGAGCACGCTCTGCACTTCGCAAGCTCCCCAGTGCCTGCACCACCACCAATGGGTGAGCACACAGGTTTTCCTGCCATCCCAGAGAGATGCACTCCTGCACTGTCTGTATGCGAGCAAAAAACAAGGAGGTCTTGGCAGGGATGCCAGAGCCACCTCTTTCCATCCTTACCTCTGTGAACTTTTCCAAAGGTTTCAAGGGTGGCCTGTTGGCTTTGTCACATTGCCTGCTCCCCAAGTCTCAGGCTGCCAGTGTCTCTCCCCTGGATGACTTGGCTTGTGTTATTTTGTGTTAAAACCAGTATGTTTTTTTAATGGCTATAAATAAGTTAAAACTGCATCTTTAATTAATCACTGCACTTTATATTGTAAGCGGAGATTTTTTTGTAATGATTCGTTTATGACTTTAAGATGCCATTTGCTCACTTGTCAGATGTATCCAGCTTTTATCCCTCTATGTTTAACAGGTTCAGGATAGAAAAAATTTCATCAATGAGGGATTTTAATTCGTTTAGTCTAGAGCAAATAATTGGTTATTAAATAAGTGGAAAGAGATCAAGTGGATACTTTTATCTAAGCAACAATGATCTTGAGACACTAGTCAGTATGTTCATCATCTTAAAACTAATCTTCATTTTAAACTAATCTTAATATGTTTATTTTTCACTGACACAGGTTTGAAATTGGAAATACATATGTCTGGATGACTAAAATGTGAACAACAAATAGGAGCAGCAGCATGTATAGAGAAGTAGAAGCATTAATAGAAATATTTATGCTATAGCAGCTATTAAATGATTTTTTTTTTTTACGGTTTGGAAGAAGAACCCATATGTTTATAGGATTTTTTCCCCCCAATTAAAATATGTGTGTATGAGTTATTATTTAGCTACACATACACACACAGGGCTCATGTATAAAATTCTCTACCAGTGAAGTGAGAGCTGCTTCTCCTTTAGTTTCTTGTCCTACGGGCAGGCAGAAAGGACACCCAATCCAACACCATCAGGACCTTTACAGCACCTGCAGGTGCAGTTTTCAAGGCCAGTTTATGCCCTCTGTCACCTCCCATGCCCGTGAAGGCCAGTGGAGCCTCAGCCTTGGGGCAAAAGACTGCCCAGAGCAGAGGCAGCAGAGGCAGGCAGCAGATCCGGCCGTGCCAGCCGAGTGCTCCCGTGGGAAGGGTGCAGGTAGCCCAGGACCCCTCAGAGGTGAGTGCAGGGACAGCAGTTGTGCACCCCAGTGCACAGCACCCCACAAATGCTGTGCACTGCTTCGGGTGCCTGGGCATTCCCTGAGCACACAGGAAGGTGCTTGGTTTTATCTGGTTTCAGATTAAATACACGTGGCACGCAGGTGGCTGGGTACACAAAGATGGGGTTATTCCTTCCACCCCCCACCCCCCCCGCCCCATTTTTTTCAAGAGAGCCTATAGATATTTTATACAGAATATAAATAAGCCACAAAAAAGGGAAGAACTATTGTATTGGAACTATAGAAAAAATAATAAATGCTTTTAAAAATTGCTCTACCTCAATTCCTAGACAACTCAAGTATGACATGCAGTGTATGATTTGTCTCCTAGGATTGAATCCAGGCACTTACCACTTTGTTAGCTTAAGAATTTTGAGCAATTTTTTCCATTTATCTGTATTCTCCCCAAAAACATTTCACACATTTCTCAGATACATCAATCCTTCCGGCATTCCTCTACGCACTCAGTAGGATGCCCTGCTATAAATATAATAAAGCCTTTTATTATGTCCATTAACCATGGACATGTGTGCTCCAAAAGTTTCCTGACACGCAGTCATTTGTGGCTTTTTAATTATAAACAGAAAAAAATCTACCAGCAGAAGAAGACAGCAGACTGGAAGTGGATCTTTATGTGTGTGTTTTGAGTTTATTCTCTGACAGGCTGAAGGCACCCCCACCTTCCTGACCCCACCAGAAACACCCTGTGCAGGCACCTACGTGTGCACAGAAAGCCACTAACACAACAGGATAGTCCTGGTGATACACATTTGTCACCTGTGCCAGCTCCAGGGGACTTCTGCAGGTTTTCAAGACCCAGTAACACCAATCAAACCTTTTTTCAATAGGCAAATACGCCCCCTCCATCTTGCAGACCTTGTTCCACTTGAATTCAGGAGAAAACAAAGAAGGCCCAGTAAATTACTTGACAAATTAAGTCATATTTATTGAATGCGTTTTATTTCAACAACCAAAAAATTCTAACAGCCTAACAATGCACATAAGTTAAAAATTAATTATCACTTAGTGATAACGAAGATAAAGTTGATTTACATGGAAAAATGAACATTTACAATATGTTAATCCTTATTCACATTGTTGATACCGCAATAAAACACAATTTGTTTTTTTTATTTTTTATTTCACAAAAAAGGCGGAAAATTGTGCTTTGTTAAGAGGCACTACAAGAAAAGTTTCTTTCTCCAAATAGATATTATATGATGGATATTGAATAAATAGACATATATGCATTGTAATTCGCAAAGTTCTGGCAAGACCACAGGCTAAAATGCCCACAGATTCACTTAGAACCACTGCAAAATTGGCAGTGAAATTAAAAATAAAAAGGCAAGACTCAGCATTGAAAAAATACCTAATAAAATTTTTGGTTGAAGTGTAAAAGATACCAAATGTTGATGCCATCATCAGATGAACAACTTACATAACTTGGCAAAATTCAGTTTCCTTTCAAATGTATGGAGTGATTTCAGCTACAGGATAAGAAGACAGTTTTGAAAGCGTAGCTCTGAGAGAAACATAAAGCAGCAACCATCGAAATTCTGATTAAAGCTGCAGCATACTACAGAACTAAAGGATGAAGAGCAAGAGGGGCATTAAGTAAGCAACCCACCATAATTTTGCAAAGGTATATGAAATTTATGCAGAGATTCTCATGTTTCAAACATTAGCTCTGAAAAAATCTCATAAAAACTCCAGAGGTTACTGAGCAGCTAGAATTAGCTTGTATTGCAACGTCTTCTCCCTGTATATTGTCTGTTCTGAGTAAGTATCTACACGTAGAGGTTTGTTTTTCGTTTTTAACTCCTACCTTTTATACCTTTCAAATATATAAATAGTATTAACAGTTATATTACATTGCCTGGTGTAGTAAACAGAAAGTAACTTTCAAAGTGATATTGCATGAGGTCTTTGTCAAGATGACATGAAAAGCCCATGTGAAAAAAGGAAGAAAAAAGCCAGAAGCCTTGTTGGTACCGTTATGGCTGCAGTTTACAGGCATCTGAAATCAATCCAGCTGCAAGGTGAGGTCTTTGTCTCGGAAATCATTGCACGGAGTGAAAAGTAAATGAAAAGTAAAATGCTACTTGGCGTCTCTCTCTCGACAGGGAGCCTCAGAGCAGGTGGGTGCTCTGGCAGATCGCGGCTTTAGCGCTCAGGCCATCGAAGAGTCACTCGGGCTTGGCTCTGCTCTCTGTACCGTAGCTGCTGCCTGGGTGCTGCGGAGCCTTCGCCCCGGAGGGCCAGGAGCGCAGCCGGGCCCGGAGCGGGCACCTGCGGCTGACAACACTCCAGTGATGGCACAGAACACGGGGCACCAGGGAAGGAGCCCAGCTACACCAGAAACACGGGCACGCTGCGAGGAGGGCGAGCGGCCAGTCAGCAACGCAAACCCTCGGGCTGGCAGCAATTTACCTGGGCAGGATTCTCGGGATTGTGGCTTTTTGTGTCGCAATGTAACTTTACACGTGTGAGTGTGTGTGTGTGCGTGTGTGTGTCTGTGTGTGTGTGTGTTTCACTTCAGTATAAACAAAAAGCAACAACAAGAAGGAAGCTTATAAATTTTAAGACCTGAAACAGAGAACAGGTAAATAAAATCCACGATAAAATGTGGTTGATAGTATGAATTCCATACATCAAATCCCAACACATTTATCTTTTTTCTCTTTCTATAAAGACCTCGTTAATGGTCAAGTCTTCTATGCACTGCATTTCAGCTTTAGTCATTCTGAATCCCATGAAAACTCATCTGTTCACTACAGAAAGGACTATCTGGAGAGTGGAACATGCTGTATCCTTTAAAGTGTGCACTGTGTTCAAAGTACTTTTAACTTACTAGTTTTCTTTTTAAGGTGCCCTGATTTGTTTTTCCATTTTCTCTCTTTTTTCTCTCTTTTCTTTTTTTGGCAGTGTTGATTTACGTCTTTAAATACCTCAAAAATTACCCATCAAGTTGCCAGATAGGAAGCCATATAATAATGAAAAAAAAAAAATCAGGGATAAACATAGAAAATAAATAGGAATTCAAAAATAGTCACCACACCCTGAGAGCAGGCGGCAGTTTATCAAAAAGCCAAAGCAACTCATTGTGAAGTGGTTTTAATACATAAACAAGTCTCCTCTTTAAAGAACTCATTTCACAGTCTATACTTTCAGGTTGAAAAGTTCCGTCCCATGCAATTTAATATATATATATTTTATGTAAATATATATATACACACACAAAGTTGTAAATTTCCCTTCACTGATTTCATAGGACTTTTTCTTCCCATTTACTTGCTAGCTGTCCCTTTCATAAGTGCAAGATTGATGAAGGCATAATCCTATGTGACTACAACGATTGCTTCAGTCAGATGTAGGAAGTGTAACACTCGAGTGTCTGTGTCAAGGCGATGTCTGATCGGGCAATGCTGAATTCATTCGGTTTGCACATGGATCATGCGCAACGCAAACAAACAAACAAAAAGTAAAATGAGGAAAAAAAATCAGAAATAAAACCAGAAAAAATCCTTGGATCAATGTATTGCTTTCTGCACTCCTATCTCACATTATCTCTGGTCGATGTCTGCTGGAGCTGCCTTGCTTTTGTCGGGATTCTCCTCCTCAGCCTCTACTTTGTACATTTCCTCAGAGCCTTCCTCACTGTCGTTCTCCTCCGACTCCGTCAGCAGCTCCTCATCCTTGTACTCTGCCACGTCAACCACCGTTCCCAAGTGCTCTTTTAGCTTCCCGTGGTGCTTTACGTGGTAACGCTGGTTCTGGAAGAATTTGATGATGGTGTGTTTGGGGAGATCCAGCTGAGCAGAGAGGGTGTGGATGGCTTCCTGGTCGGGGTAGAGACCCACGTCGTGAATAAAGCTTTGAAGGATGCCTAGAGCTTCCAAGGAGATCTTGGTACGGGATCTTGGCTTTTTGGCACAACTGTCCTCAGCAGGTGGAGGAGGAGCCTCTTCTCTAGGTGGGGAATTCTCCTTGGCAGGCTGGGACTGCTGTCTGTGCAGCACCTATAAGATCAAACAGACACACACTTCACATGCTGACCTCCTCTGTGGTTGACATAAGGGCACTTGTACAGGTCTGCACACAGGACCTACTTTGTTCTGGTCAAGAAAAGTACAATTAATATACATTGTCCACTGTCCTTCTCACCTGTAAGACAGCTATACCTGTCTGCACATCTACAAAATGAAAGGAGGAAGTGATATAAAAGGCAAACTATATAAAACAAACGTAAATCCACACAATAAGTAAGAAATACAAAATGTAAGCAATAAAAAGAAATATAAAATAGCCAAAATAAAAATTAAGTCAAAAGGTATTATTGTCTCATTCTCATGAAGAGTGGCCAGTTGCCCCATCTCAGAAAAGTCATTCTCCTGCTTTGCTCCTCTTCTCCCCATCCTTGTTTCCTCTCATCTTTCCAGGCTAGACACTTTGACCATTTCTTCAAGATTTCAAGTACCACAAAGGCCTAGGCACATGTGGGATTGTCAGGTGCTACTTTATGAATAATGATTTTGCATTAAAATCCATCACAGCTGCTTTATGGAAGAAAGAAAATAGCAGAAGTGCAGAGATTTGTTAAGATTTCCCTTCTCTCAAGAGAGACAGCACAGTCAATTCAGTTGCTTGACATAGGTGGCTTTAATGTGTCTCCTAAACAGATTTCTCTGTATTACATCTGTGGTAATTTCACTAGTTGAGGAGTTCTGAGTTCAAATAATAATAGCCCTCCATTCTGAGACACCCTCTGGGCAAACACACTTCACAGTCTTGTAACAGATTTTCACCCACAGTATCTCCTTTTCGGCAAATTTAAAGAAAGCATATGTAGCTCTTAATCTTCCTAACAGCCACTTAAAATGACTAAGAAAGGGCCTCGTGCAGCTCTTATTCCAGGGGAAAAAATACCTGCTCTGAATTGTTCAAAACACAGAGGAGCTCCATATGCTTTCTTTAAAACCCAATCTATACAAGGGAGATTAACAGAAAAAATCCCCTACAGGATTGAGGGCTGTATTTGCCCAGAGGTTTCTTCAGATGCAGGGAAATAATTATTAGAGCTTGACACTCAAAGCTAACAAAATCAATATGGATAACTCTTTTCTTCCACAAGTAAGAAGGAATTCTGGCTCTTTATCCAGGAAGAAAATGTCTTTGTTGCAAACTGTACTATCCAGAGAATCAACCCTACATTAAAGCACTCTAAAGAAAAAAAAAATAGAAAAAAACCCAAGGATTAATAATGGAAATGTGCTGAGAACTTGCACTGAGTTTCACACACATTCTGAGCCCCCAGTAAAATGCTACACTAGTCAAGTTATTACCGCAAGAGGGAAGTCCGCTGTGCAGTATCAGCCTGTTACACAAATAAATGAAAAAGCTCTATGCTGAAGAGCCCTTTATTCATTTCCTTCATCAAACGTTCCTGCCATGTAACATCAGCCATCTCCAGTCACAGCTTTTGGGAAGCAGATCGCAGTCCCCAGGAACTGCCCAGCGCAGCGTGCCCGGGGAGCTGAGCCCGCAGGGATGCTGTGACAGGGACTCGGCTGCGACAGGGACCCGGCTGTGACAGGGACCCGGCTGTGACAGGGACCAGGTGTGACAGGGACCCGGCTGGGAGCAGTCCCTGCTCCCCCAGGGACTGCAGCTCCTCGGGCACAGAGCAGGACTCAGCACCCGATGCCCCGGTGAGCGAGGGCTGGCAGTGCAAGGACACAGCTGCACATCCTGCTGCTGGCAGCGCTGCCCGCTGTCCCCAGGGGCACAGCCATGCCAGGACAGCGGCAGGAACGCCCCAACAAGGAGCAGCCAAGAGCAGGTGCCAGCACAGGACTTGCCACCCCGCGGGCAAGAGCTGAGGCTGGGCAGAAACACGGCAAACTTGTTTCGGTGCCAATATGAACATTTTCCTCCCAAGCACGTAAATACTGAGGGTGCCATAGAAATGGCTCACCAAGGAGCGGGGGAAAAGAGGGAGTTCAAATGGAAATGACAGATACTCTGGTTTATGTTTTATTACATCTCTTGCAATAAAAGAGCATCATGTTCCAACGAATGGAATCGCTCAGCTGCTCTTTGAGGATTTCTTTTTTGTCCATGGATTGCTTTCAAAGCAAAGGGCTGACGTTTCCAAATAGAGGGTTACAGATGAGGGTGGGATCCGTACCTACGTCAGCAGGGAGCACTGAAAGCAGCAGAGCCCAGCATCGCTGGCTCTAGCCAGGCACTAAGCCCCATAAATTTGTCACACAGACCCTACCTAATCTCCCCTGTTGTGCTTTCTGGTCCTGTCCCCTGACAAAGTAAGGCCCAGAGCAGCCAAAATAAAAAGGATTTAACACCACAAATAAACTGCCAGGGAACTTACAGACAGCGTCACACAGAAAGCTGCAAGCATTGCTAATCAGAAGCTGGATTCAAGTAGCATCTAACAGAGATAGAAACACATCCAGAAAGGGTGTGAATTATTCAGTTCATTCTTGTTGGAGTTGGAAGGGGGCTTTTTTTTCCCTTTTCAGTTGACAAATAGCATGAGAAATGATCCAGCTTGAAAAATGTTACAAGACTTCCAATCAAATATAATGATGAAAAAAATCCAACAATACGGGATCAGCAGCAGTAAAATGTTTAATTTGGAGGAGATGAAGAGATGCCTACAGCATCTATAAAGCAATCAACCAAAGAGAGGGCTGAGTGCGGGAGGGAAGAATAATTTCAATTAACCCTTCCTTTTCCAGAGTGACCTCTCCACCTTCTCGAGAAGAGAAAATGCAAAACCTGGAGTTATCATTGTAAAATACTAGAAAAAGGTTGCATTTTATTTCACCTCCTGTTATCTTAGGTAATGAAAAAACCTAAATCTTCTCTTATAACAGATGAATCTCATTATTTTACTAACTTCTGGGGGTTTCCTCTGGATTGCCAGTAGCATTAACAAAGGATGTCAGCCACACAATATTTTTCAGCAACAGAATTTTAGCCATATGCAGAGAGATAGATAAATGCACAGGATGTCCTTCAGATCTGGGTTCTGGTCAGTTTTGCAGTTCCTTCTGACAGGACAGGTTATTTAGCACAAACCAGATAACTGCTGAGCACATGGTACAAGATGAAGTCTATATTACCTTAAGTATTTGCTTTAAACTACACTTGACTGATGAGCATGCTGGCCAATTTGAGTGATTGGCTTCCTTCATGTCCGGCTCTGCATGCCACAGCCTCACATAGGAAATGGACCATTCTTGGAGCTCCAGATTTTCAGATCTCGGGTCATTATTAGGCTCCTGCATCTACAGATAAAATTTCCAGCAGCTTCACAAATTGCTGCACACACCCTGCCATATAATTTTGGGGTTTGGGTCAGTGCTGCTCTGCCTCTGCACTGCTAAGAAGGAAAGAGCACTGCAGGGAACAGCACTGCCCTTCTGTGTGCAGGGGGCAGCGCATTTCCCAGTGCAGGTGAGCCCTCAGGGCTGGCCGGAGCTACCACAAAGCACCGTGTACATGATGGGCTTCTGAGACAAGGGATAACAACAGCGGCCATGCTCAGCTTTCCTTTTCCCAGGGAAAGCTGGTGCTGGGCTCAGACGGGTGCACTTTGTGGCACAGATGCCCCATGCTCCCCTTCCCCATTCCCATTTCCATCCCCCATGCCCTTCCCCACTGCTCTCCAGCCACAGGTGGGGCAGCCGCCTCCTCCTCCACAGCCAGCACCATCTGGAGCTGACTTCCCTTCCCCTTCCTGACTTCTCATCTACTTTCAAATCAAATGTGAAGATACACATTTCCTTCCATGCCCAGAGGATTTATTCTTTTCATTCCTTCAAGAGATTTAATTTTTAAACTCTATAGGCATGGGTACCTTTCAACATCTGAGAACAGAGTATCTCTGGAAGATGCTGCTTCATGAAGGTTCATTCAGGCAGACTTCCTCCCCATAGACAAACTTATCTTTTTGAAACAAATTCACTGGCCCGGTAGAAAGCCGGCAAGAAAACGACTGTGATGGAAGTTGACTTTAAATGATAAAGTGACTGGTCTTAGATCACACTGTACTGAAATATGATTTGAAGGCCACAATGAAAAGCAGCTGGAAGCCATATGTAAAATATAATAGTACATGCCTACAGGGAAGGAAGTGAGATATTGAATGATTAAATTTAGGAGAATATATAATGTAGTGTATCATTACGGGAGTGATCAGGATTATTTGTAATAAGCTAAGGGTTTGTGGTCTATCTAAAATCCAAAGCCAAGAATTATCTGGGGAAGGGACTGTTGCACTGTTTTACATGTACCCACTCCCCATGCCTCCATGTGCTCCCACAGGAGAAACCTGACTTCAGCATTCCCACAGAAAAGAGAGGTGAGCAAACCCCAACTCAAAGATGAACGTCATGGAACTGCAGTTTGTGCCTGTACTGTATTTAATTTTGGCTGGATTCACTATGCCACTGATGTTTGTTTCCATTTCCACCCACTTTCTAGCTAGAACTACACACGTGACATTGGTGAGAGGCTAAGGGAGCCAAGCAGGATGCTCGAGCTGGGAACACACACACACTCCCAGGCACCACCAGCAGTGAGGCACCAGCTGACAACACTGGCTCTGTAACACATCACCCTCCACTGCCTGGACAGCCTTCTGAGCACAGTGGAATCAGGAACTGCATCGAAAACTCCAAACTTTTGTTTCCTAGTGTGGTTCTGTCCTTCCCTTTGCAGGGAGGATCAGTCATGTGAGCTCCCTTCCACTGTTATTCGCTCAGATGAGGAGGTGCCCCTTGCTAAGAGAAGCACCAACAATGTTACATTCTTTAAATACAGTACATTTGCAAGAGACTGCCCTAACTGAACAGACACCACTTGCCTTTGTGCACAGACAACATAAGCACTGACAGTACCATGATGGCATGTGGTAGTCAGTATCAATTTTGATAACCCAAACCCACAAGGAGCAAAGTTGAATGGACTGGCCCCTTCTCTTCGCCAGAGGAGG